CCATATTTAGGTATTAAGAAATATTTTTAAAAAGAGAAGATTTACTGAATTTCTGTGAAAAATAAGCAGTGAGTCTGTGATATAGCACCATGTCAGCAGAGGGCGCTACTAAACCTTCTAATAACCATTTCAGGGCTGTGCGCACTTCTGTATACTGAGGGTTGTCAAAGAGGAGCAGGCAATCCAGTGGTGTCATTCCAGTTCTGCCCATCTCCCGCTCAGCTTCCTGTCCTTTAGTCAGTGCCACCATATCCAAACAATACATCACATCAGACCCAACTATCAGTTTGTAAACCTTCCCTTGTGCTGCTATGCTTCTGTCACAAATCACCCCTGACACTCATCTCCACCACCTCCACCCTGCCTGCAGACTCTTCCTCACCTCTCCTCTGCACTATCTGTTGCTTTGGATGGTTGTCTCCAGGTATTTAACCTCATATACCTTCACTGTCACACCTCCCTCTCTCTCATTCACACACTTATTCTCTGTTGCTTCGATTGAATTTCATTTCTCTTCTCTCCAGAGCATACCTCCACATCCCCAGGTTTTCTTTCACCTGCTTCCCGCTTTCACTGTAGACCGCAGTATCCGGTATGAACGTGATAGTCTATGGAGACCCCTTCCTAACCTCACATCTACTCCATGTCCGCCACAAGCTGTAGTGTTAATAAAACTATTCTGTCTTTGCATAAGCCTTGTGGATGTGCAGAGTGTTGCCACTAGATGTCACTGCCACCACATTCAACGACTGCACAATCTGACCGACTGATCAACTGAAATTCACTGATGGCTGTTGATCTATATTTTAGTTAAAGCTTCTCTTTTTAAAAGGCCTCACAGAAAAATAACCCTTTTTACAAGTTAAAAAATATTTTAACAGATGTTAAAATTTTAAAGGTTTATACTGTTTATATATAATATTTCAGAAAAATTAGAAATGAGAAACATTTATTTATCTTTAGCGTTTATAAAGGTACGCTGAAAAAACCCAGACCAAGTTGGCAAACACATTTTGCTTAGTCTGTGATACTTTGGGCTTTACACAGCTTGATTAATACACCACTGGCAAATCTTACATAGATCAGAAGTGGCCCACACCTGTATCTAACAACAAACAACCTTTATTTGTCACATACACAATTATACAGAGTACAACATGTAGCAAAACTCTTGTGTCCGAGCTGCAGACATAGCCTCTCTATTCCAGGGGTTGGTATTAAGCATGGGGGTCTAGCCAGGAACGGGTGGGAATCAAACTTGTGACCCCTGCGCCAAAGGAGTGTAGTCTTACCACCACACTGGATCCATTGCAGATTGGTTAGATGGTGCAGACTTGACTTTTTCAATGACAGCTGCAGCTACTGGGGATCGAGTTAGTCTGACTCGCCTCTGGATCTTGGGAGTGACAAGACTTTCGCCCAGTTCTTCCAGGAAAAGCAATTTGAAAGAAAAAGAAACAAAAAAGAAAGGATGACCAGTACTTTGGTCAACACAAAAACTGACCCTTAACATAAAAGAAGGTCATCCTGAATCACCATCATCAGTTTAGGTTAATTACAGCCCAAGAACAGTATTGATAGGGGCCATATTTAAAGCGAATTGCTACTGTGGAAGTGACGTAAAGACGTTGATTTTGTTTCAAAGGTTTCTGGCATCCTTAGATAAATGGCACTTTACCCAGTAAAAGTTTGCTATTCTGCATCTGTGTGAAAAAACTCCATTTATTAACACTAATTTACACCATACAGCCCTACTCCAAAAAACTGTCATAAAGTTGGGTTTCAAAAATAAGTGTTTAAGGTTTTTAGAGCATGTCAGCAGTGCCAGCACAGAACAGACCATCGTGGTTGCTGCTGATAGACTTGTATAAGTTTATGTTAGTGTTGAGAATAGATTCCTTAATGTAGATCAGAGTTAAAGAGAATGTAGTTTGTGATTGCTTGCAACATTATAATATTGTGGTAATGGGTGTAAGGATACAAAATAGAAAATAGGCCTTGGATGGGAACAAAGAACTGAGGTGCAGGGCAGGAGGACCAACCCCCACCCCCAGGGCATGAAGCAAGAGTTACTGAGGGTGAGGGGCAGACAAAGGGCAAATGGGCACTACCATAAAAGGAGATGGGGGTCAGGGTGTCAGCACCCTTGGCCACTGTACTAGTGCATTTCCATTGTGGGGGTGTTTACTGTAGGGGGGAGGAGACCAGAGGTTATAACTGTAACTGTTGTGTGGAGTTCTTGAGATCAGCCTTTAGCATAGGACTGCATAGGAATGCAGTGTGCTGACCTCCAGATGCATCTGTAAGAATAATGGGTAATAAAAGGATTGTGTAAAACATGGAAACATCTCAGCGTGATCTCTACCAGGACCAAAAGAATCGCAGAGACCGGCGTTTGTCTCAACATTAGCAAACTACTGAAACAAACGATAACTCGGTGTAAAAGAAGGAAACTAAAACAAAAAGGAAGTCTAAGCATGTACATTTTGTTTTAGTTTTATGTTGTTGTTGTTTTAAGTGCTGGATAGCTGCACTGTAATAGGAAAATCCAGCTGTTAGCCCTAATGTTTGGGTTTGTAGAGGACTTTCTTGAACCATAGCTTCCCCTGACTCAGGCGGGTTCTCCTCCACACTGTCCTCATTTATAAAATGTTGACAAACTGAAGTATTACGGCTAACAGGTGCATTTTTCCATTTCAGTGCAGCCAGTATAGGCCTACTGCTAAAGAAACAAATAGTAAAAGTAGATCCTGAGTATTTTCCACTGAGTTAACGCAGACCAATGTAAGTCTTTCAGCAGCAACCAACCAACCTGCACAGTGAAGTCATGTTCTGTACTGGAACAAGATGGCGCTAAATATACTTTGAACACACTTATTTCTTAAAACAGCTTCACAGACGGTGTTAAATCTGTGATAGTTTTTTAGAGTAGGGCTCCATGGTTAAGTTAGCTGTAGAGTTTCCTGTCTACCTTAATGCATACATGCCTGTAAGACAATAATCAGGGCACGAGGGTGGCGCTTAAACTAATGGGAGGTATGACATTGCGGAAGGCTATTCCTGTCTGCTTACCACGCCTCTTCACGATAACGTGGAAGTCAGGAAATGCTTGTGTTAA